GAGAGAGATCTTAGGGTTTAGAGGTCACCACCGAGCAATGCTTTTCTACACCTCTAACTAGTGACTAATGAGGGTAATGTGTGTTGCAATATTGGTGTGTGTGTGTGTGTGTTTGGTTGATTCAATTAGCAACGGTAACTAATTAAACATATATTGTTTAATCAACATGTGAAAAGCGCAATATATCTAGCAATTAAGTATATATTATCTAAATAGCATGTGAAAAGTACAACATATCTAGCAAGTCATTAATCCTTTCATTAAGCTCACAAGCTAAATACACCACAAGGTTAGAGACATATGCTACTTACATTCAAAAGTATGGAACATGGAACATGAAACAACTAGCGTGGATTATCCTCTCATCTAACAATTATGCTACCACTACACTATAATTAAGCTAATGACATGAAATTAAACTAATTAAGCTAAGGAAGAGGCATAATCCATCAAGAAATAAGCATGGACTATCTAGAAAATCACAAGAGCATTCTTTTAAGCACAATGTTTTGACAATCTCTAAATCTATAGCATTAATACACATAGACATGCATCAATAACACAAGAAATACAGGCAAACACATGAACATCTATTCTAACATCCATAGACATATGGATAGAATGAAATGATCAATTGGAAGCATTAAGCCACATAAATCATTGAATAAACAAGATCTATATATATAAAAGTGTCAAAACATTAATTACAATACTAATCCCCCAATAATACACAAGATTAAGATATAAAAAGCATACTTGGGGCTAACTCTAGCCCCAAGAGGATGTCTAGCCGCTTATGGTGATGTTGCTCCAACCCTCAAGGGCTAACTCCATGGAAGAGATTTGCTCCTTGGTTGATGAAGAGTCTCCAATGGTGTTTCTAGTTTCCTCCTCTTCCAAGCTTGCTCTCCAAGAGAATAAACTCTATAATTGTCTATCTCTCAAAAAGTGCATCATATTCCTTTTTATAGGTAGGTCAAGTGACACACAAAATGAGCTGGGGACGTGCAAAGAATATTCTCTAATGATTGGATAGAGGACGGATTGAGCAAGCTGGCTTTTTAACTTTTTCGCACTGGAGGAAGTTTGATCGATCAAACCTTGGACTTGGATCGATCGAACTTGCTAAGATCCATCGAACTGAGGCTAGATCGATCCAACTGGTTGAGCTTTTTGGGAAAAGACAAATCTGAGATATTTTGAAGATATTTTTAGGAAAATGACAAAAGTGGTTAGTAGGGTGGTACAGCTGTGGATAAGATCAATCATTTGAATAATGACAAAAGTGTTCGATCGATCGAAGGGTGGTGTTGGATCGATCGAACTTTGGACTTTCTGCTATGGGTCAAGGTTTGGATCTATCTTGAAGTACTGAGATCGATCAATGTTGGATCGATCGAACTTTGCTGCTTCCCACCTTTGGCTTCATTTGCTTATTTCTATCTCCACTTTGCTCATTTCTTTGTTTAATCTCAGAATTGCTTCAATTAAGCTCTTATTTGGCTGAGTTAGCTTATTTTTGGGATAAATGCCTGAAAATGAAAATAATTCGAAATTAATCTAAAACGGTAGAGTAAGATAGATAAAGGTACTAGAATGCCTAAGCTTAAGGGGTTTAAATACACACTTTTCAGCGCTCATCACTCAGCCATGTTCGATCGATTACAGCACAGGTTCGATCGATCGAACCCTCTTAAATCCGAAAAAAAATAGATTTCCAGCTCATTAAAAGTTGTCTCATTCTGCAATCATTGGAGGAGCCCTTGTGTACGAGCCTAGACATTGGGTGTGACATTTGAGCTACCTATATAAGGAATATGAGCCACTTTTACACATATGCTTAGATAAATAGTTTTTGATAGTCTTAGATACAATTCTTAGAGAGGAAGAAAAGAGAAGAGGAGGTTAGAGACATTCTTGAGAGGTTTTCCATCTTCCCCAAGAAGAAGAGCATTTCTACCATGGAGATAGCCCTTGAGGGTTGGAGGACACCATTCATAAGTGGCTAGACATCCTCTTGGGGTTAGAGTTAGCCCTAAACATGCTTTCTTTACCTTGATTTATGTATTTTTGAGGGTATTTGTGTTATAATACATGTTTTGACATATTTATATATATAGATCTTGTTTATTAAATGATTTTTGTGGTTTAATTCTTCCAATTGATCATTTCATTCTATCTATATGTCTATGTATGCTAGAATAGATGTTCATGTGTTTATCTCTATCTCTTGTGTTGTTGATGCATGTCTATGTGTGTTGATACTATAAATCTAGAGATTGTCAAGACATAGTACTTAATAGAATGCTCTTGTAGTTTATTTGATAGTTTATACTCATTTCTTGATGGATTGTGCCTCTCCTTTAGTCTAATTAGTTTAATTTCCATGTCATTAGCTTAGATGTAGTGTAGCTATCTTAGTTGTTAAATGGGAGGACAATCCATGCTTGTTGTTTGATGTTCCATTCTTATGAATGCAAGTAGTATATTTCTCTAATTTTGTGATGTGTTTGGATTGTGAACTTAAAGGAAGGATTAATGACTTAGTTTGATATGTTGTGCTATTCATTGTATTGTTTAGACAATATACACTTAATTGGTCATCCATACTTGTTGAAACAATCACACACATTCACCATTGTTGCAACATATGCCTTCCCCTAATTAATTATGAATTGAGTCTATAGAAAGGTGATGCTTAGGGGTGATCTCTAAGTCCCAAAACCTCTCTCTCTTATTTTCTCTATCCTTTAATTACTTGTTTTATATTGATCTTGTTTAATCTTAATTGTAGCTTAATCAACCAAACAACCTACCTCTGATCACTCGACCTACTAACCCTAAGCATTGTTCCATTACTAGTAGCCCTTCAATCCCGTGGGACTATCCCTACTCACCCTTGCTATATTTTTAGTTAATGGTAGTAGTGGCAATTATAAATGTAAAACTTGGCTACATTGCACATTCACTATCTTTTGCACATCTTTAGACGTTGGTGCTGCGGCAACACCAATAATAAACCTTGAAAGTGAAAATGCATAGAATACAAATTTGATGTCATTGGCCTATGACCTTATCTCATACATGTCAAATACATTGTAAAGAGTGTACTTATATACATATTACATGTTTATAATCAAATATACACATCTCAACATATAAGGCTACAAGTGGTTTTTCAAGCCAACTTTCACAAGAATTGAAACTTTCGAGTTTACAAATCATCCAAGGAATGATAAGCATTATGAACCAAGCCTTCGTATCTGAAACAAATCCCCAGTAACTTTGGGGGCGAGTAATATAAAGCTACATGTAGGAAATGAGCATGCATCAACCTAGTATTTTACAAAATTATGACCTTAAGGTGAAACAAGTTAAAGGGGCTCATGCCACCTAACGTCTACGTCTAGATGAGACTCAGGGAGCATCCTAAGTTACCTTAGATCATTTTTAGCATAAATCACATCATTCATGCAATTTAAACAATATAGAAGCATGTTATACAAATTAACAAGATATAGATTCTCAAAGTCCTCAACTTGAAGTCTAAAACACGAAAACAACTAAAGTGGATCATGCCACTATATTCTAAATGAATCTATAGGATCGTTTCTAAGCTACATTTGAACATCAAAACACAAATCACAATATCGATGCAATTTAACCAACATTGGAACTTCCAATACAACGCATAAAACATGATTTCTCTAAGTTAACATCTTGAAACTCAAAATGGGAAATCAATTAAAGAACAACAAGTTACGATATCATCTAGTTATCAACTTGAAATGAAATGAGAAATCAAACAAAGTGGATACTTGGACATCACGCCGGATCAGACCGACACCATAGTTACTTTAGGGTTACTAGCCCATAGGTAACCTCCCTATGTGTGCACTAGACTGTAGATGGACAATCCCCCGTACTAGAACCATGTCCTGGTCATAATCAAACAAGGACATCCCTAAGTTGTCAAAATCAACAAGTTGTGCAACAACGTATATATCAACAGAAATATACAAGATAATCAACTATCTATCAAGCACAACTAAATTTGGAAACACATACAATACATGAACTAAGTCCACAACTACTATGGCATGACAAATGTCGAATCTTCAGTGTGCGATTCGTTACACGCTATAACAATATATTTCAACATTGAAAACATAAACTTATGAATCTAATACAAGTCCAAAATCATGATTTTAACATATAACCAATGTCAAACACATGATTGAATCATTAACGCTATAGAAACGAAAATTAATTAAATAAACTAATTAATTTCTCTGAGTTTCAAATCTTAATCAAATGACCCCTAATTAGCACATGTTAAACAACATTGCATGGTCATTACATACATCAATTCAAAATCTTAATTAGGCCAATGGAACAACAAAGTAGAATTTAATTAAATCATGATAATTAAATCTCTAACTTCTAAAGCACCTTCAAATGGTCCCAAATTAATATATGCTAGTATACATGTACTAGTCATCACCAATATCAAGTTAAAAACTTAATTAAACCAATGGAACCTTTAAATAGATTTATGAGGACTTGCATTTTTATCATTTTTCTGAACATTTTAGCATTCATGTATTTTATTTTTATTGTCAAAAATATGATGATTTTGCAAATGTGTGTTAAATCAATTAAACATCATTATGTGTTAAAAAGTATTATAGACTTTATTATGCAAATGACATATTTGTCAATTAGTATTTCATAAAGGGCATTATGGACTTTTTGTTTTACAAATGGCATATATGGTATTTGATTATTTTATAAAGGGCAAAGTAGACTTTTAATTATACTAATGGCATAATTGGCATTTAGAATTAATGGAAGGAGATTTTAGTCATTTTGTTTGGTCTTGCCTTAGACTCATTATAGGTTTGACATGTGTGGGTGTATGTGGCTGCATTGTGTGTGTGTATTGATGACTAATGTATTTCATATTAGAGAATATGCACACAAATCATTTTCAGCAGAATGTTAGAATAAAAACTTTCCTCCTCCATTGTCATTCTATTTGAGCTTCAATTTGAGTCCCTTGTGGTAGGATTTTTAAGTTGTCTTGTGAAGGAAAAATGTTCTTGAAATCATAAGTTCCCCTTTTTGTGTACAAGTTGTGGCCATTTTATCAATTCTGGATTGTCCAAATCTGATTTGAAAAGGGAAGGGTCGGTTGAATTTCAAGAAGTGTTCTTCATCTTCAAAACTTGGTAACTTTGATTTATTCTTTGGGTTGCTTTAAATTGTTGGTAGCTGAGTTTCAAGCTTCAATTGAGGTAGGATTGTCTAACCCTCAATTCCTTTGCCTTTAGTGAGTTAATCTCTTTCAATTTTTGAGTTGCAAAGTGTATGCAAACAAAACTGAAATTCTATGCTACTGAAACTGTTAGGCTGAATTACATGCAACTGTTTTGCTCAAATTGATATAAATTCATAATTTATCATGCAGAGATGATTTGATATTATGATAATATAGTGAATTAGATTTCATTGAGAATTGGTTTCACATAAATTGGTTGAGAAATGAATTTACCATGAATTTTTGAAGTTAGAGGGTTCTTGCTGGAAATTCTGGGTTGCGACAGATTCTATCCGAGTGTTTTTCATCAAACCTGCTTTAGATGGTATGGTATTTTGATGAAATAAAATTTTATCGTAGAAATATAGTCTTTGAAATTTCAGTGGCCTTTGGATTCACTCAATTTGGATGAAAATTGAATTTACTATGAATTTATGAAGATGGAAGCTATAGGCTGGAAATCAGTGTCTGACAGATTTTTATTTCGAAATTGTGGATTAAAACTGTTCCAATAGGGGAGGGATTTTGTTAAACTAAATTTACACTCTCAAAGTACATTGTTTAAGATTTCATTAGGCTTTGGAATCACTCAATTTGACTTATAATTGAATTTGTTATGATTTTTCAAAGATGGAAGTTACAGGCTGGAAATTAGTTTCTGGGCAGGATTTATTTCGAACTTTTAGGTCAAAACTGTTCCAATTGGGAAGGGATTTTGTTAAAATAAGTTGACACTCTCAAAGTACATTGTTTAAGCTTTCATTAGGCTTTAGAATCACTCAATTTGACTTAGAATTGAATTTGTTATGAATTTTCAAAGATGGAAGTAACATGCTGCATGTGAACTGTTTACTGTTTAGAAACTTCGGAACATGACACAATTGTGCATTCATCTTGCATCATCATGGGGTTAAGATTAGAATGGAAAAAGGAAGTGAAAGTTCAGTAAATGATTTTGAAAACCAGATAACAGGGAGGTGCCTTGTATCTGTGAGTTTAGAAAGTGGGATTGATTCAATGATTTCAAAACTGGACAAGGAGTTGCCTTGTCTGTGCAGTTAATGGGAATCTAGAGAAGACATAGGAGTTGCCTACGCGTAATTGTGTCACTAGGCCCCAAATGCTTACAAGGAGTTGTCTTGGATCAGGGATAGATGATCAATTCTCTTCTCGTGGTACACGGAGCAGCTCTGGCCAGATTACATTAACTTTTTGTGATTGAAATTGGATTTTGGGAAGTGAGAAGTGTCAGTGGCATTAGCATTAGCATCCGCATTGCATGGCACTTCATTTTATTATCCCACATGACATTATTTCTTTCCTGAGTTTATATGATCCCATTATCCTTTATTTATTCTTTGTTTGGATTCACGGAGGTATTAAGGAGTGCGCTTTAGACAATTCCTGCTGAGCTGTGGTTGCTCATTCCTATTTTATTCACATCTTTTCAGGTCATAGCATGGATGGTGTGGAGGGTGTTCCTCCTTAGCTATAGACAGAGTCGGGGCTGGTGTTGTTGTGTTATATTCCGCATAATAGTTTATGTTTTGTCTTATATCTCTTTAGAATATTTCTGGCATGTAATAAATGTTATTTTGCACTTTAAAACTTTAATGTTGTAATATTGGCATCTTATCTATTAATTTTCAGTCTTGTTTTTGTAAAGGGAATTAAATAGGCTGATGTGTGGTTGAGACAGGTTACAGGGATATTTTTCTTATTTTGAGATTGTGATTGTTTGTGTGTTGTATTCACAATCCGGACTACGGTTTAAGAGCGTGACAAGATTTTAATTAATCCTTTTAATAAAAATCTCTAGATTTTCATACTCATCCAAATGCTCCAAAATTAAAGTATGTTAAAGAGCATGCTAAGACTTAATTTAATAACATATTACAAGTTAATTCCATACAAGGTATGACCATAATAATTAAACTTTCACAAAAGAAAATTATTAAATAAAAGTTACAATCTTTATTCAAATAATCCCAATTTAATATATGTTAACAAACATACCAAAACCTAATTTACTAGCATGCTACAATTTAATTCTAAGTTGAATATCATCGTGAGAATTAAATCTTAAACATAGAAAATAATTAAATTAAATTCTAGATTATGAACAAAAGCATGCATACAAGTTGTATAAGTATCAATAGTATGCAAGACAACAAAAATAATAACCCATAGCATCCCCTATCTCAATTTGAGATGAAAATCTCAAAAGCCACCAAAATGAAACCGCTCTGAATCCACTGAAACTTCGGGGTTTTGTCGGGGACAACACGGTGAACGATAAACTCCAAAGAGGACATACCAAAATTCTAAGTTGACCTCAAACTCGAACTCAAAAAATGGCCAAAAATGGATTTTAATAAGGGGGAAAGATGTGCGTAATCAAGACAAGTATTAAATACAAATGCACTACGACTTTTTACACGAGGGAAGAAGGTTTATGTGATACCCCCGAATTTTCGAATGTGGGTTGGCCAGGCCCACGCCCGAATACCCGAGGATATCAAAACAAATTGATAATAAACGAACACAGAGTACAAAAGAATAAAGAAGAATAAATAAAATGCTGACAAGAAACTAAAATGATAATCTAATAATAAACCTCATAATATATTTCCATTAATTAATAAACTCTTCTGATAAAACTGATCCTCCAAAATACAACTCGGGAATCCATACTGTGTGGACCCCTAGAAAATCCAAACTAAACAAATGACAGTATTCTAAAACAGGAAACTGAATCATAAAGGAACTCCTATGTAGCATCGGAAGAATGAAGTAGATTGATCCCCGCTCAGCACGAACAACCTCTACTCGTGACGAACACCTGAAAAACAATGGTGGGTCAGGCCCATAAACAAGTTCTACTCTACTACAGTCCAAGCAGAGATCCGATACACGTATACATCCTAGTCAATCCAACAGTAACTAGTAGTCCGTATATATATATATACACACTAAAGGAACCTCACTAGACTATAGGGTTGTCTCAACCTGAATAGTAGGCAACATGCAAAACGCACATATAGTGGGCATGAGTACCTAGACCTACCAGGGTACACAACTACACTATATCTAGCTACACATCCCTGGCGATATACGCACCCTAACCACTGATCCTGAGGCTCAAGCTCATATCATGGCACCATACTTATATATATAAAATCTAGTGACCATCCTATCCAGTATAAATTAATCCTCCATAAGTCATTCAACTTGTTCAGCTGACCTGACTTGAATATAAGTAGGACTTAATATTTTAGTTAATCCATTCCCTTATATAATAAATTAATCCTCTATAAGTCATTCAACTTGTTCAGCTGACCTGACTTGAATATAAGTAGGACTTAACATTTTAGTTAATCCATTCCCTTATATAAAATAGGTAGGACTTAACTGATAAGTTAATCCGTCCCTAGAATGCCACCGTCCCATACCGGTGCATTAAACCACACAATCCAACAATTGATGTAATAATTAAAGAAATACATCAAACATTCCAGAAATAACTATGATAATATGATATCAAGTTATCACAGAATATGAATGACTTATTATTTATTTAAGCTCATATATCATATGTCTTACACAAACTGAATCTTATACATGATGATATTTTATTATATCGTCAAATAAGCATTCTCCATATCCAATTCATCCTACACATTTATTCTCAATTGCTAAAGCATTTTAAAAGATTAAATCCATTCGTTTGTGTAAACATTTAAATAGCAAGCATCGTTATGATTGAGTGTATTTAAATTTATTTAAACCCAAACCTAGTCCCTATTTAATGTTCAGGAATCCTAGGCATGTTTCTACGTTCCATCATTCCACATATATGAAAAATACATAATTCAAACATATAAAAATTCACACCAGAAATCAAATCAAAATCATGCATTTTTTAATTTATAACACAAGAACAGATATGACCCAATTTCACAAAAACCTATACTTTAATCCAATTAAACATGCATAATTATTTAATTTTATGTGTTTAGTAAATCCTGGAATTTCCTAGGCATGTACAGAAACACGAATCAAAGGGAAAGAGATAGAAGAAGAACTTGCCTTAAACTTTCGGATTGAAAGTTAAACTTCTTCTTCCTTGATCTTCTCTCTAAAGGGTTTTCTCCTCCTTCCTCCCTCTTTCTCCTTCTCTCTCTAACTCTCTCTCTAGAATATATTACGTGATATATTTTCACTCCTTTTTCAACCTATAGTTGTGTATTTATAGGCTAAATAATAACCCTATTCCTTTTCCCAATCCAAGTCAACTTAATAAAAAAAATAAAAATGAAAATATTAAAAAGGTAACTTAAAATATGTTACGTATATAATCTATGTATATCCTTATTAATTAAATAAAATATATACATTAGATTATTTAGTAATACTAAAGTTACCATAATATTAAAAGGTAACTTAAAACATGTTAAGTATATAATCTATCTGTATTCTCATTAAATAAATAAAATATATACATCAGATTATTTATTTATACTAAAGTTACCATAATATTAAAAAGGTAACTTAAAACATGTTACGTATAAAATATATGTATATCCTTATTATATAAATATATAAAATATATACATCAGATTATTTATTAATACTAAAGTTACTATAATATTAATAAATTACTTTCCTTTTTATATATATGTATATACATATATATCTATATATATACATATACAACTATCCATGGATAATTATCCATACCCATCCAACCTCCTATCCAAGCAGTCCATGGGATCCAATTGGTTGGCCAATTACCACTAACCATAACCATAAAAGAAAAATAAAATAAAATAATAAAAGAAATGAAAACATTTAATTAAAAATTAATTAACATTAATCAAATACATCATTTAAGCACACAATCTAATTAAACAAATAATACAAATAACACCTAGACAAAATACAAATAACACATAGATAAGTAACCAATTAATCAAGTAACACTTAATTCAATTAAACACATAAACAATTAGTCAAATAATCAATTAAACAATTAAAAAAAATATAATAAAAATAAATAAATAAATACCGAGACTATCCTTTTAAAATTAGGGGTATTACAGTTTAATTGAGAGAAGAAGGGTGGAAGCCCCCTTTGGGCTGCCATGGATGCTGCTGGACATCCATGAAGAGAGGGGAAGATGACTTTTTAATTTTATAACCCCTTTTTTATAATAAAACCCTACAAGTGCCCCGCCGGGTCCAAAAAAGTGGAATTCGCGTAGACGCACTCAAACGACAAAACTACGTGAATGAAAAAGAACCAAAATAAGAAAATATGAGCAACGGAAAAAATGATATCAAAAATTGAGTCCCGAGCAGAGAGATATGCCCCGAACAAGTTCGACAGCAACCGGGGCCAGAAATCCTGAAACTGGGGGAAAACGACCAGAAGGCAATTCTAAGAGTACAAGACTAGACGAAAAGTGAAAATGAATCCCGTATGAGGATCCAGGCTCAAAATGAGGCATTTTTGCAATAACTTTCATTAATTACACAATGGCCCCTCCAAAAAGTGAAAACTGCACTAATAACTCAGAATGAAAATATCTTCCAAAAATATTTTCTTAAAAACCCATAAAATAAAATATCTTCAAAAGATATTTATGAAAAACACTCCAAGAAAAGAAAAAGATTCTGAAAAATTATGCATCCATACCCCTATGGACAACGGGTTTAACCAGAGTACTTTACTCCAAAAGCAAAGATACGTATTTCGTGAAAACCACTTAGAATAAAGATACGTGAAATCAAAAACCAACTCCAAACACAGAAAGTGAGGTTATGCCAACAAAGTGACAAACGGGGAAAAGACAAAATAGGGAAAAAGACAAAAAGTGAATAGTGTCGAAAAACGAAAAATGCAAAAATGACTCGATCTTTAAAGGAAGTTGTCAATCCAAAGGAAAAAGTCTCAGAAACCATTTTCGAGCACTCGAGACGACACTAAGTGACGAGAAACCAAACATAGAATAGAAAAGACAACGAAAAAAATTTATCCGTAAAATTTGAGGAAAAAAGAAATGAAAGAAAATGACTGGCAAACCAAACACAGAATAGAAAAGACAACGAAAAAAAATTATTCGTAAAATTTGAGGAAAAAGGAAATGAAAGAAATGACCGGGTCATTACATATGTTTAATTATTTTCTTTGTATGAAACTTAATTCACATGATTGCAACTCGTATTTCATGGGGCTTTTAGCTTTTTATCATGTATCTAGACTTCTTGTAACTTGTATTTAATGAACTAGCACAATTGTCTTGGAATGATTTAATTATCCATGTATTGCTTAGCAAATAATTAAATCATTAATCTTATACTTGTGGTATATTTACATCAATGGATTCCTTGTGTTTTAAATCATAGTTTGTAGTCTATGTAGATGCATACCATGATCTCTTGACATTTCACATGCCATAATAGTTGAGAATTTAGGGCATAACTTGTGTGTTTCCAAAATCTTGGTTGTGCATGAAATATGGTTAATGCATTACTTATATCTTGATACTATCTTGATTTACACAACTTGTTGATTTTGGAACTTGGGATATCAATCAAGAATTGATATGGCTAGGACTTGGTTCTAGTACGAGAGATAGAGAGCTCCCTATACTATAGTGCAC